TTCATACTTTCTCTTGACAAATCAATAACTATTATTATTATTTCAAGGAGCTGTTCAAAAGCCAATGAGCTCCTTTCCCTCCCCTAGTAAAAACTATCCTCTTCTTCCCACACTGAGTAAACTTGCTGTTCTCTCGCGCGTTTAGGGCAATTTTTTTTTTTTTTTTAAAGTGGCCCTTCATTCCACATCCAAAGCACGTTGTCTCCTTATTCTGGTATCCACCTTGAAATCCTCCAAATTCCCTTCCTCTACTCCCATTAACATACTGGTTCCTTTCATCCCCCCTATATCTTGTCTCAAAGGGACTCTTCTTATCCCCAAACTCTCTTCTAGGAGGTTTTTCCTGCTTCATCACTTGCTGTACTGTTGCTACCATCATTTTACTTTCTGCCTTACTTTCTCTGAATATACACTTTCCTCCTTCTCTGGCTGTTGTTGGGGCTAGGTTCCAATTCCTCCCACCAAATAAAACAACATAAATTGACCATATCTTCTTTATTCAACCCCAACCTCAAAATCTCCCGGTTATAGGGCGGGGATCCCCATCCAGCCAATATTTTGCCCAAAGGGCCATTCGGGTCGATTTTAAGTTTGGGGTTTTTACGGATCCTTTTAACACACTTTGTCCCTGACTTGGTCGACCCTGTATTTCCCCCCATTTCTTTTATGGGTGCTCAGCCTATCTTGAGTATGTGTGCCTATGTCCCTCCCAGCAACTCCTTCTCAATTCCACACGTCACCGTCTCCGGATATTCAATAATATCCCCTTCACTCACTCCGTCCTGCAGACCTCCCCGAGGTCCCTCAAAAGGACTTCCACCCGGCCCCGTTGCCAGTTCTCACATCCACACACTCTATCCCGACCGCCCTGGACTCTTGTGTTCTGGTGTTTTCAAACCAGTACTCACCAGGGTCTGCGTGCAGATGTTACCCGGTCTGTCTTCAGGCTGTTCCGCACTTTATTCACCCTTCTCCTAATACTCGTCTTTATTGAAATTTTACGGGTTTCCAAGAGCTTCGCAGTCCTCTGGGTGGTTCCCCTCCTTTCAAAAGGAAAGGGGTGCACCTAAGGAGGACCCCTCAGAGTCCCAGCGCAGATTGGATCCCGGTCGAGCCCCCAATTTGTTTGTAGAATTCCTTGAAAGAAATTCAGAGACGAGGTTCGGAGTAGCAGAATAAAGTTTCTTTTATTATCAAAGTTGAGTTTAGTAAAAGAAAACGGTTTGCAAAGCGTGGTGAAACTTAACCATGCACTTCCAAGAGTTACAGGGAAAAGCCACACCTCCTACAGAAGCGTAACAGCAGTTATACCCCTCCCTATCTCCTCCTATACCTACGTCAGCTATTCCTGACGTGGCAGGTCACAAACCTATCAGACGACACAATTATCCTACCTTACCTCCTACCTTACCATATATGGGTATTCTTTTGTTCTCTACATGCGGACATTCTCTACTTAGTTTCAGGCACGTACTCATGTTTTCTTGCACATGCTCAGTGAGCCTGTTGCTGAATAGAAAATTTTAAACTTTTCTAAAACCTTCCCATTCAAACAGACTCCACATATCATTTCTCCTCGTATGCTGAGATGGTCCATTTTCCTGTCAGCATATGACTACACTCTAGTTCACAAACCTGGAAAAGAAATGGGCCATGCAAATGGCCTAAGCAGATTGCCTTTAACTCAGGTTGAAGCAGACCCTGCTCCTGCCATAAATATTCTTTCCATTCAGGAGTTGCCTGAATCTCCCCTCAATGCTAGGGACATGGCTGCTAAAACTGCCACTGATCACACGCTTACACGCGTGCTGACATGGGTGTTGTCAGGATGGCCTGACGCGTGTCCAGATGCGACATTTCAAAGTTTTTGGCAAAGGAGACATGCACTGTCTACCTTTAAGGGGTGCCTTTTATGGGGTATTAGGGTAGTCATCCCAGCTTCACTGAGGTCTAGAATCATGATCTCTCTGCATGAGGGACATCCTGGGATAGTCAGGATGAAAGCGCTTGCGCGCAGCCACCTTTGGTGGCCTGGGCTCGATAAAGCCATTGAGGCCCAGGTGCACAGGTGCCAAGTGTGCCAACAGTCACGGCCTGAAATGCCTCAGGCACCAGTTCATAGGTGGGAGGAAACTCAAACCCCATGGTCTAGGGTGCATATAGATTACGCTGGGCCCTTTTAGGGGCAATTCTTCCTGGTTGTTGTTGATAGCCGTTCTAAGTGGTTAGAGGTTGTTCCTGTTTCCTCCACTACTACTGCCAAGACAATTGAGGTGTTGAGAGGGATTTTTGCTTCACACGGTCTTCCAGATGTTCTGGTTTCAGATAATGGCCCCCAATTTACCTCTTCTGAGTTCCAGGTTTTTCTTCAGGCTAACCTGATCCGCCATGCAACTTCGGCTCCTTTCCATCCATCCTCCAACGGAATGGCAGAAAGGATGGTGCGCACCACCAAAGATGCCCTCAAGAAATTGACTTATGGTAACTGGCATCACAGGTTAGCTGACTTTCTTCTTGCACACTGCACCACACCTTGCACGTCCACAGGGAAGAGCCCAGCTGAACTTTGCTGGGGTCACAGACTCATTACTAAATTGGACAGGCTGCACCCAGACCGGGTAGCTTCACAGGTGTCACATCCGCAGGCACTGAGGAGACTACAGTTGGGTGATCCAGTCTGGGCTAGGAACTACGCTCCTGGTCATCTGTGGGTTTCTGCTGTCATCTGTAAGATCTCTGGACCTCTATCATACGAAGTGACCTTGGGAGATGGCCGTGTCTTGCAGCGTCACATCGATCAACTGCACTGGCGGTTGTCCCCTGTGGATTCTGCCCCTGCCTCCGCTCTTGCGAGGGAGGGGGACCAGGAATTAAGTCGCACTTCAGGTCAACATCCTGAGACACAATCTCACAATTCAGGTCAACCTTCTGAGACACGATCTCACTGTTCCTGGGATGTACTGCAGGTCTCTAGGGATCTCCCAGGGGAGGTGCAAGGACATCCTCAGAGTTCAGCTATTGCGCCGAACAAGGAGTCATGCGTATCTGCAAGAGCTCCAAACAGGAATTTACCTGAGGTGGGGTTTGCTAATGAGGTGACTCCTGATGCTGGCACTCGGCCATAGACGACTGGGAGTATTGGGGCACACTTGCAACACAGGTCACGTCCGAGACTGGTTGCGGGCTCGAGGGACTAAGTTCCCTGGAGCCATCCAGAGTAGTTGGGGCATCCTCAGCCAATTCAGAGGGTTGGGGAATTTCAGCTGCTCCCACGGAGCCTGGGGAGAGCTCTGGCAATTCTGCTGGCATGCCTCACCAGGGGTCACCTGCAAAACTTGTGCATAAAAGTCCAGGTCTAGCGAGCCCAACAGACAGGCCAGTAGGCCAGGCGTCCTTAAGAACAAGTCCTGGTCTGCCTAGCCGGGCAGGTGAGGTGACAGGCCAGGCACTCTCCCTAACCTTATGTAGGTCTCAATGGGCTAAGGCCCCTCCTAAGCATCTAGGCAAATATGTGAGGTTCTTCTCAGTACAAGGGACTTTACAGGTCTAGGTTGAGGAGATGGGACCTTTGTGGGGTAGAAGATAGACATGCGAAGTCCACATTAGAGAGTGGTGGGTTGGCTAACTTTGTTAGCAGAAGAAGAGTGTCTGCATGTGAACAGACTATTATTTTCTTTTGATTTATTTTATTATGATTGTAAAGAAATTGGAATTGTGTGTATTCTATCCAGGGGGGAGGGGTGTTGTGTCCTGGGCCTGATGAGGAAACTCAGCAGGCCCAGAATTGTTGCAAATGGTCCCGGGCATTCTAAAAGCTGCCCGGGACCAGACAAAGCGGTGCCAGCCTTGTGTGCATGCACAAGGCGCGAAGAAAGAAGACATCTTATTGGTTCACGCTGTCCGGGTTTCAAGCCCTATAAAAGGCCTGCGTGCCTTTTGCTTTTTGCTTGGAGTTGGAGTAGGAGAATAAAGCATTGTTGTTTGTCATCATGAGTCTTCATCATTCGCCCACAAACGGAGAACACAACAGGAAGAATCCTTGGAAGTTTTCTATTCCAACTCTCTGCCCAAGGCAGGAGTCCCTATACCATCCTGGGCAAAGTAATGCTCAATATTTACTTGAAAACCTCCAGCAATGGAGCATTGACAACTCTGGGAAGCTAAGTGTTCCACTGGTCAATTGTTATGTCAGGAAATTTTTCCTTAATTCCAGGTTGCTTCTCTCCTTGATTAGTTTCCATCCTTTGCTTCTTGTCCTGCCCTCTGGTGCTTTGGAGAATAGGTTGACCCCCTTCTTCCTTGTGGCAGCCCCTCAGATATTGGAACACTGCTATCATGTTGCCTCTAGTCCTTCTTTTCACTAGACTAGCCATGCCCAATTCCTGTAACAATTCTTTATATGTTTTAGCCTCCAGTCCCCTAATCATTTTTACTGCTCTTCTCTGCACTATTTTCAGAATCTCAACATCATTTTTATATTGTGGTGACCAAAACAGGGTGCAATATTCCAAGTGGTACTAACTCTTCATGTGATTGGCTTTTCTGGCAGCTGTAACAGACTGTAACAGATATAACAGCCTGTGAAAATCCTTAAATGTATGACTTGAGACAAGTAACTATGATCTTATTGGAATTAAAATTAAATATAGATGAAATCAAGTTTAGTTTTTATTCTAGGTGTTTCACTGGTTTTCTTAGCCTGTTGCCTCAGTCCAGAAATAACTGTATTCTACATTTGATCTGAAGGGAGTATTCTTCCATATTCTTTCATAGTTGATCTTTCCAGCAAAACTGATTTGGCTTGAGAAGAGGGCTCTTATGTACTTCTTTATAGAACAACTGCTTTATAAAAAGCAGTTCATCTATGAAGAGCAACTGTTCTATAAAAATTGTGGTGATTTGGTACATGAGTGTGACATCATCAAAGGCTCCTGGCCAGCCAATCAGAATAAACCACTGATGACAAATTCACACAAATTTCACACAAATAATGGCAGCAGGCTAGATGCTGCTTCTCTGCAGCATGAGTGGAGTTTTAACAACTAGTCTATGTGACAACAGAGATCAAGGTGTCATCTTCCATTCTTGCCTATCTCAGAAAAAGCTGCTCTCTTGTACCTAAGAATAAAACCACCAAGAAGAGTAATCCAAGCAGCAATCTGGAGTGCAAATAAGTGATCAGAAAGGTCATCCACCTTAGCTGGAGGTTTGATACTATGCAGTGAATTTCTTTTTTTTAATATGTTTCTTCATTATCCCTGGAGACAGTTTAAACCATAGTAAGAATTTTACTGAGAAATTCTAATTGATACTGTGTTTTTTAAATTTGCTTAAAGGCTAACTGAGATTTTTCTTAGTACTAGCTTAGTCTGTCTCACTTATGTTCCACATGTATTTTTTGATCTATATTTTCAGGTTCCTTGTGTATATATTTTTCCCTTTCATATGTATACAAGATGTACCATAAGAATCAGATAGCACTATAAATCTATTTGGTCCAGTATCTTGTTTCCTATAATCAGAGATTTTGGAGATAGGGCACACATACAATTATGGAATTGCTGAAATATACCTCCTGTTGAAAATGTGGGAATCATTTTAAGAACTTACTCCAGCTGCATCTGATCTCCTCATCTAAGGAAGGGTGGTGCTTTAGTAATCCTGTCAAGTACCAAGTATTTCATATTTATTGTCCTCCAACCTGCTTAATTTTCAATTAGCATGGTGGAGGAATGGAATGGTTAAAAAATGACATTGGGACAATCTAGAGTCGGAGATGACCCAGGTGGGAAAGGTCTAATAGAGAGAAAGCTGAGGTAAATCAGGTTCAGAGATAGAAGCATAACTGGAGGGTTCTATCTAGACCTTGTCAGGATCTTTTAACAATTTGGCACTGCTCACATTTTTTCTCTCTCAAGTATTCGTTTACTTCTGACATATAAGGATAACATGGACTTTGCTTCTTGTTTTAAAGAAATGCAAGGAATGGTGGTCTTTCTGTATTTGCTCTATGATATTGTTTCCTGAGGTCCTGCTGCTATGATCCAGAGATTAATATTTACTCTGGAAAATTTATATTAAAAGAGGATCTATCATTACTAGAGCGGCTATATCCAGGCTTCAGAAGGTCAGCTAAATCACTACATGGGCAGCAAAGAGTTATATATGCTTTTCACTTCTATTAGCAATTATCTAGCTCATCCAGGTATCCTCACCCATCCACCAAAAATACAACAACCCTAGATATAATGGAGATGAAGATTCTCCATTTAGTTTCCTTAACTTGCAATCTTTGGGGGAAATTGGAATGGGATAGGGGTGGGAATTGGAGGACTCTTAGCTTTGAAGAAAAATACTGCAGGCAGACCTTGACTAACAAGAGTTCATTTAGTGACAGTTCAAAGTTACAAAGGCACTGAAAAAAGAGACCAGTTTTCACAGTTAGGACTGTTGCAGCATCCCCATAGTCACATGATCAAAATTCAGACTGGATCATATTTATGACGGTTGCAGTGTCCCAGGGTCCCATTTTGTGATCTTCCGACAAGCAAAATCAATGGGGAAGCCAGAGTCTCTTAATAACTGTGTTACTAATTTAACAGCTGCAGTGATTCACTTAACAACTGTGACAAGAAACGTAAAATGATGCAATACTCATTTAAAAACAGTGTCGCTTAGCAATAGAGATTTGAGCTCAGTTGTGGTTGTAAGTCAAGGACTACCTATATTGGTTCAAGTCATTATCTAAACTAGAATCTTCAAGAGATTGAACTGTTTTATTTTTTGTATGTCCATATATTTTACTAAGTCACAATTTAGATCTGATTTATTAAATAGACCACACTTGTCTGGACTGAGGTGGTATACTAAGACTGAATCAAACAAATCATATTATGGCTTAGCATGTCATGTGACCCAGCCTTCTGTCATAATTGATATCTCAGCCAGCAACATGTTTATTGAGATAATCTATCTCAATAAAGTATAATTCCAATCAAGCTTATGTACTGTTTCCAGTCCTACCTTAAGGGGTTGACACCATTCCTGCATACTGCTATTCCTACTTCTTCATCTGGTTCAGTCTTTTTATCTTTTTTCATGGATAAACTCTACCTGTTATATTTATTACCTTCACTTGCTAATATTGTCTCAAAATTCTAAATAGATGATATCAATTAAGAGACATAGTTTCATCCACATTACTGCATTTACTTCCAAAATAAAATATTGCATTATGTAATGTTTAAAAAAAATTATGGTGAAACTCCGAGAACTGGTTTCATAATAAGAAATCCTTCCTGATTCAGGATTAGCCTATATTAACTGAAAACATCTCTGACTTATGATAGGACAAAACCAACATTACTACACCAGTTTAATCTGCTCCTACCATGACATCCAAGTTAAGGCATATTTACATGACTTAATTATTATTGGTTAATAAGAGTTCTATTTTTTTCTCCTTGCAGATCAAAATGTAATAGGTTTATGACAATCAGAACAAAATTCTACTGGATAACTCAGAAAAATAAGTTATTTGTTGCCAAGCCTTCAAATATGCTCGTATCCAGTTGGGCCTTGTATCCAGTTGGACTTTCTCCAAGCTTTCTGCCATCTTTGATGTGGCCATCAACATAATAATTTCATCACTACCATTGTCAAAATCAACAGCTTCTTAGGGTTGTAATCAGAAGGTGAGGGGGCTCTGATGTTGTGTCAACCACTGGGAAAATTTTTCCATACTGAAGGTCAGTCTGAGCTTTGACAGAATTATCTCCAGGGTGACATAAAGCCCCCAAGATCAGCAGGGTAATTATTTTACTCAGTCCTTGATCTTCTCAGAGTTCTGAATTTCCATGAAACCATATTTTTCCTGATACTGATATGATCTTGATCACAGAAATATAGGAAAGGCCTCTACATCTGGTTATTTAATGCCATTCAGTTGTATGATTCGCTAGGATGAGTGGAGCCAAATATCCATTGGAACAGATTTCTCTGTGCTGGGGAGCAACAAAATGCTAAGTAACTCCAGGCAAGGTGTAAAATCAGAAATCAGGAGAATTTCCCAGAGATTTCCAGATTTCTGCCGCAAACACTAATTTTTATAAGCAAATATTTCAAACTAGTAATCTGTGAAATACAACCCCTAATTGGAGTTCTTGAATCATACTGGACTTCTACCCACGGCTGCACAAAGAACATGGGTTGGCAAAGAGAGAAGATATTTTTCTCATCTTCTCTAATAAACTCTGTCATATCAGACCAGATTTACATGTTTATCCAAGATTAGGTTTTGAATGATTGCTCTTTGCTCATTTATTGACATTGGAGTATCTTTAATCAATGTGGACTATCACTGAGGCAACTCAAATTTTCTGTGGTTGTTCTCCTGTCTTCTATAATAAGTTATTGCCCTGACAATAACTTCTTTTGCTATTATTCTAATTGTTCTACTCTTTCTATTTCTCTGTTCCTTTTTCAAATATATACAGTATTTCAAGGCACTTAGCAATAATTTTCTAAATTGTACAGGTGGTACACATCCACAGTACAAATAAAATATATTTCTACTGTCTGTCTGGAAGGCAAATTCAGGTACAATTTTACATTTAATGCAGTTGATGCATTTGCAGATTTATAAGAAGCTGTGTGCTATAGTAGCAGATGGGATCTTCCACTAGATATCATTGGTTCACAAGTACAGTTAGCTTGATCATATCTTTCCCTTCATTCAGTCCATAAAATAGAAAATGAATATATAGAATGCAGAACACATGCTATACATATGTTACTAATAAACACTAATAAATTTTGGCATGCCAACCTGGATAGAACTTCATAGCATTGGACACTCTTTGCTTTAGTAAAGTAGCTAAACCCAAGGTCCTTCTGAATTATCTTATTTTCTTCCCCTGCCACACAGGCCAAGCATCAATGCCAGATGATTTTCTACTCAGAAGCCCAGAAGAATGGATTTGAGCTGTCACTGCACACTACCTTTAACACCTCCCTTTTTAGATACCTCTTCCCATTTGTCCTATGGGATCCACAATTTATCTTCTTGTGATCTTAGAGGATTGCCCTGCAAGTACGTGGTCCACTCTGTAAGATCTCACCAAAGGCTGCCTTGTCCTTGCAATCAGAGTTGTATGCGATGTCTCTTAGAGAACCAGAACTTTCCCACCAATGTTGAGAACTTATGCCCACATCTCATTAACAAAATCTCTCCAGTCTGCTGCCAAGAAAACCAAAGCACATATGTCCATTCTCACCCGTTGTGGCTCTCAGCTCAAATAGAAGGGAGTAGGATACAGCCTTTGCTAGGTAGCTGGGCTGTGCTTTCCAAAGTTCCTGTGCAAGAGGCAATTGACCTATCTGAGCACCAATTGAGGCCTGAGAACTGCATTGTTTACTCCCTCAACGCAAAGGATTTAGACTCTTCAGGGCAACATAGACATTGTGTTCCTTCTGGACCAAAACATTATGCTATTTATTCATCACCCATTTTCTCCAGTTATTTGCAAAATGAAAGTGGTCACCGATTCTCTAAGAACGTACCACCCCTGCTTGTTGCTCTGTATCCCATGGAACGGGGTTTGCCACCTTATGTGGAACAACTAGCCCAAATTGATCGAACTCCCACACCTTCTCTGGCAGAGAGTTATCTGGCCTTCTCTGGCTAATAGACCATGTGCAAAGAACACTGATATTTTATCTTGAACTAAAAGGTCTGAAATGCAACCAATCACTTGCTTAATTTCATTTCATGTGTCATCCCTCACTATGGGAGCTTGACTTTCTACATCCTACTGCTTTGGACTGGTTGATCCGAATGCTTAAGTATCATGGCAGAGATGGATTTGAACAACATGAGAAGTTCATACAGTGCTACTTCTTGAATTAAGATTGGTGTGTGGGGTGGGTGCAAAAGTTGTCCTTTATGGTATTTATCAGCTTTATTCCTGGATCCTGTAATTCTATGGTCCAGGCAATTCTAATTTGGTGACTACAATTGGGGCCCATAATTTGGTCACTAAGTGTAGCCATGACTGTGCTCATGATCTGCTGTTTTACTTTGAAGATCTCTGAAGTTTGTGAATACGAGGATTGGTCACAAAGTTAATTTTTCTTCATTGATAAATTGCATTGTAACTTTGGTTACTAAAGTGGGAAGTTGCTAAATAAGGACTATCTGTACTCTTGAATAACTGCAAATACATTTGTCCAAGTCGTTACAACTAATTAAATCATGTTTAACTTTCAGCAAACTGAGGTGCTATATTCTGCTTTGTTCTTTTTAGTTTCCAAGTTTTTTTATCAAATAAGCATCATGCATGAATACTTTGAAAGGCTTTCTGATTAAAATTTGCCCATTGACTAAAAGAATGTTAGTGCTCAGAAGGGTCTCAATGTTTCTGCCTTTCCAAGTCTGTACAATTTAATAGCACTCCCAGCTTGTCAAATGAAATTTAAACAGCTCTCATGACAGATCTATACTGCTCCTCACAATTCCTCAGCTGAAAATAAGAAACCGCAGTGACCACCTTTCTGGCAGGCTCATCTACAAGTTCTTGTTGGTTTTCACATGTAGGTTACTTATGGACCTTCAAGACAACTCCTTTTTTTGCAATGGTTTTCTAGAATTAATTGCACCTGTTATTTGCTAGGAATGTTTATGCTGCAATGAATTGTGTGTATTTTGAGATATGTCAAGTTGTCCGTTCATTAATTTGCTTACATACAGAAGTCAGATGCAGTGTTTTAGTAGTAGAATCTCACACCTAAATTTCAGACTTAGTTACACCATTGGTTATGTTCCCAAGCGTTTCACAGGGAAATAAATACTGCTGTAGAAGTACAAATGCTTAATTCAACAAAGCATGTGAATATAATGATCTACTTTCTTTTCCAAACAATCTTATTCACAACCAAGGAACTAGATTATCAGAGACTGGAATGACAGTGGGCTCTCATGACTGTAGAAGGGAATATTTGATAGTGGCCAAAGATCAATTGAGCCAGTTTGGTGTAGTGCAGGAGTAGGCAACCTTGGCTCTTTTATGACTCGTGGACTTCAACTCCCAGAATTCCTGAGCCAGCTATGCTATGCTGGCTCAGGAATTCTGGGAGTTGAAGTCCACGAGTCATAAAAGAGCCAAGGTTGCCTACCCCTGGTGTAGTGGCTAGAAACCAGGAGCCTGTGAATTCTAGTCTTGCCTTAGGCACAAAACCAGCTGGGTGATCTTGGATCAGTCACATTCTCTTGGCCCTAGAAAGAAGCAAACCATTTTTAAAAAAAACAGTGCCAAGAAAACTGCAGGGGCTAGTCTAGGCAGTCTTTGAAAATCAGACACGAAAGAATGGAAAGAAAAAAGAGATCAATTAAGTCTGTTAGTGCCAGGAATTTTCAATACACGCTCAGAAGTGCTATCTATCCATATCCAAGTGCATCAAGGTCAACCTCCGTGAACTCATGTGTTGGTTCTGGATGCTATTTTTACTTTTTTTCTCTGTGCATTAGTACAAGTTTGGTCATGAGCTCCAAAGTAGTACTTCTTCATATGCCCTATAACTAAGGACCGGAATACCTAAAAAAAATGTTTACATATATGCCTCCAATGAATTTAAAGTATTCAATAAGTGCTCTTTTCAAATAGAGCCTTTATGAGGAAGGCCTTGGTGGTAGCACCGACTGAAATCCTAATTGTGCAACTGCTGCTTAAGTGGGTTACATTTTACTACCAAATGAAACACTTTTTGACCTATATTGTCCAGTAAGTATTTTTGTGCTTTGATTTTTTTTTGACTGCTACTATGCTGATTTATCGTGCTTAATTTTTTCCCAATTTTAGTTATTACTGGTACTCAGTCCTGGGAACTGGTTGAAAGTTAGAATATAGATTTTTTAAATAAGTAATTGCTTAATTCAATTCAGGTATGTCAAATGAAGTAAAAAAAATATTGCCGCCCTATGAAGCTATCTTACATAAGAATGGTTGGGTGCATGCCGTGCAGAAATCCTTCTATTTAAGGATAAGGATTAAATGAATGGGATGTTTTCTATACAAAAGTGCTCTTACAGTATGCTCATGTGCCCACTTTTAAGATCCCTTTGGAATGCAGCATAATTTTCTCACTTATCACACAAAAGAGTTTTGTGAGTTTCTCCTCTTTGGAATTAGGCTTGTAAGAACAGAACTGATAAAATAGATGGTTTCCCAAAATAAGGATTAAGTCTATAACTCCTAGGAACCAACTTAAGTACAAAACACGACCCAATATTTTATGTAGAGAATATTTTATTAGTTTCTGTAATCAAACCCATGTAAATAAGACCGTACATATTTAATACAGTGCGTTACCCCTGTACAAATGAAAAAAAGTTTAAACTTTTCTAGACCAATATGGCTGTTAATTTCTGTACAATGCCAACTCACAGCACAAGTGGATATCTTTCTCCAAGGCTGACATCACAGTTAAATTTCAAAAAAAAAAAAAAAAAAAAAAAAAAAAAAAATGCAAATTATAATATTTATATAAAAAAGATAACCAACAGCATTTCACTAGGCATCAATAGCAGCAACAGACTTTTCCAGATTTTGCCATCATCTGAACAAAATTATACACATTACACTTTTTTTTTTTGATTCGTTCTTTGTTCCAGAAAGGTGTTGGGAAAATTGTCAGGGAAAATAGTTCGGTATGATGTGCCATGTGGGGGTCCTCCAATTGTCTTGAAAAGTCTGAATAACTTCATTATACAGCTCTGCTATAGCACAGTCACAACTACATATTGTAAGCAGGAATGAGATATTTTACATTCACAGAAGTTATCGTACAGTACTTTTCCTACAGCTATACTACTAAAGGATACAATTAAGAAGGCATTATTAGACTTGATTCTATTTTCCAGCACAATGAGCAGAAAGAAAGAGTGATGCAGTTTTGATATAAATATCTGGTTTTTGTGGCCCAAAATCAAATGCTTGTTGCTTTATGCATTATGAATTGAAGCATTTTAAGGCCAAATGCTTTCTTCTCAAGCACTATCTAGTTCTAGCTCAATGTAACTGGCAATATAAAAGGGAGCCTCCCAAATCTGCCCTTCTGATATTAACATGGAGAAGCAATTAACAATTTTTTCAGTTAAATTCAGCACCATAATCAAACTATAGTAGCAGCCACCTCCTGCCTTTCTTGGAAATCTGACATCAAACATTTACAAAAAGAAATGGTGTGTAATGGGAAGTAGGGAGAAAGTGGGGGGTGATTAAGCTGCTCTTCATGACTTTATTCATGGTCATAAATTCTCCTGCTCCATTCTGAAAGAACATCTCATTTGGACATGAAAAGCACAAAACCAAACCCAGTGTTCCATCCAGTGTGGTCTTCTCCGATCTGCCCATCTTCTCTAAATAAATCAGCAGCAAAAAGGAGAATGTTTACCTTTGGCTAATAAAATGCCTCAGGAGCATTATTTAGTTTTGCACCACTGAAAAAGCAGACAGGTGCTTCAATTCTGATTGATCACATTCATTCATGCAATGGCATACAAAATGTCCCATAGAAAAGTCCCATGAATCCAGATCATTAGCACTCATAGCTGATCACATCTGTCTCTGTTTTTGCTACTCATAGCTTTGAACAGGTATGTCTTGCCCTTTGTTCAGCTGTCATTTCGCTCTTCATATTGGTATGTAGACACATCACTTATGATTTTGTTTCTTCTGCCTTGATGGCTTGAGGTTTGATTGGACCAGTTCTAATAGGTTTGGGTGCTGTTGTAGCATTCTGTTTCTCTTCTACTTTGTCTTGACAGATTCCAGAGGTGGAATCTGTTACTGCCTCTGGAGCTTTATTCCCATTGTCACCCACTTTCTGTATTTTGCCTCCAGGTGGCTTGCTCTGCTGCTGCTCAGAGAAAAATCTCTGCGTTGACTGAATGACTTCTGCTCTCTGCTTGGCCTTAATAAAAAAGGATTGTGACATTAAACAAAGTAATTCAAAACAACCATAGGTACTTATTCTGCTCATTAAGTTTTTTTTTTAAAAAAATCCCAGTAATACTTTTCAAAAATGGAATCTAGTATCACCTGCTATAATAATGGACCAATCTTGGGAATTTCTTTTATATGCTTATGATAGTTGCCTTTCATTCTATGGACTTCAACTCTGATTGATATTTCCCTTATATCTAAATTCTACTATAAGCACTATAAGAATTAAGCGAGTCAGTCATGATTTCGAATACTGTTATCACAAATAGCAATTTAAATTACCAGACAAGATATATAATATTAAGCATTTTCATACAGTTTGAAAATAGCAATTTTATTGCAGTGACTAGATATTTATCACAGACAGTAAGTTCATACTTTCTTCAAATGTTTCCCTCCTTGGATACTGTAAACTTAGGACAGCAAGACTACTCAAAGAGACATCTATTTATAAGCCACGCTCTGAAATAAGTGTTTGAAGTTTTGTCTGAAATTATCTAACACAATATGTGCAGAAAATATATTTAAGAGCTCTTTTGTGGTCTCAGAATAGGTGGGGTAAAGAAAATTAGCTTACAGCTTGTGTGTGTAGAGTGTTAAGAGGCACAATAGGGCCATAATATGCCTCTAACTTTTTATACCTGAAACCCCTCCCAAAATGGGCCCTTGAGAAACTTGCCTGGTACAAAATGTATATCCTTTTTCTTGTTTAGCCAACTAGCACATTTATGATACTAGTTCTAAATAACTGTATTTATTCTAGTTTTATTAATCTAATATTCATTTGTTCTTTTTACTAATTTAATACGCAATTCTATGCTTTTCCCTGGGAACCAATGTGTTTTGAAAACAGAATAGCACATACATAAGTTAATTAAAAGTTACTTAAGATTAATTTATATACCCACCAGCTAGGGCTTGAACAAAACAGAGTAACATGAAGATTTTATCAATGTGTGGATAAATCAAAGTCACTTTTTTCAGATTAACACTTTCTTTCATGAATGAAAATAATGGAAAAGATTAAGCAAGCGATACCATCACTTGCAACCACATAGGTTCACTGATTTTAGATTGTTTCTGCTTTTATGACATCCCCACATGGACTTTACAAGACACCTCAAATTAAGGGAAAAAAGTTTCATTGAAAAGAGTCTCCAAGTGCTTTTCTACCAATTTTATGGAGTGAAATGCAGCTATGGGTGGGTTTGCT